GGACCGATACCGATACGTAATATCGGATCGGTCCATCTCTACAAAGAACTGAGGGGAGACAAAGGATATAAATAGAAACAAGGTAAGTAGGGAAATGGGGATCATCAAAGAACACCTCTGAAATTAAAGACAATTAATTAATTAAAGACAGGGAAAGCAAAGATAAATACAAGGCACACAAGACAAGAGACTATTGAAACAAAACAGGAAAGAATTAAACATGGGAACATCAAACACAGAAACACAGACTTCACAGCCACAGGGAAAACAGGATGGCAGGAAAATTCAAACCCAGGGGATCTAGTATAAACAATAACTAATTACAAATAACAAAGGAAGACCCAATCAAAACTGGGAATTAAATCATGGAAAACAAAATGAGATTGACAAATGACATTTCTTTGTGCCAGCCACTCTCTTCTTCCTCTGAGCATCCCCCAATAGTGCTTTCATTGCTGCATTTCAAATATGAAATATAATGGGGAATAATGACCTTATAACAACCAAAGGAACTTCTGGATTGCCTGCATCCATTGTTCCTGCATGACTGCATCACAGTTCAGTAATAGAATCCTGAAAATTGTGCAGTTCTTAGCAAATTTAGGGCTTATTAAAAAAAGTTGGACTTGCTGAAATGGATCTTTTTAGCTGTTGATTGAAATCAGATGACTTGCAACAGCTTAGTGAATAATATTGAAACTGATCACATTTACTTCAATAGTAAGCTTCAGTCGGTTTAGTGGGTTTCAGGCTTCATCCTAATATCTCTTCAGCTTGCTGCCTGTTCCTTTTTCCCAGTGGATGAGAGGGTTTGTTCCCTGCACAGGTCAATGACCGATTTTGTAATCATATCATCAAATCTGCGGCTGGATGTTCTGGAAACTTGGGTCAAGAGAGGTGCTGAGCCATATACTGATAACCATCTAGCGATGAGGTGCATCCAGTGGTGGGGAAGGATACTGGACATACCTCATGTGCCTAAACATATAGTGAGGGTGTGCTGGGAATTCCTGGCAGGGGCCCCCGTCCACAAGATCTTTAGCTCCTGCCAGAGGTTGACAGCGTTAAGAGGGAGACTGCGGTTTTTGAGTCAGAATGGACCATGTTCAGCACCTCCATTACTGAAGCTGCATTTGGCTGAAGCAGGAGTCTGTTATCGGGCTTGCCTAGCCAACACGTTCTCACTCCCAACTCGTCAAATGTGTGACGCATGGTCAGGCTCCCTCTGCTTCACTTATCGAC